TGAACCAGATCTGTCCCCATTCGTTAGAATGGAAGATTTCAGATTGCTGTATAATATCTTGACCCATTCTATGAAAGTGTCGCCGAATCCAAATTTTTTAAGTGTTGCAAATAGATAAGGCCATTCTATCATGTCGAATGCCTTACGAGCGTCTAAGGACAGTAAAGCTGCTCTATCATCTTTGCTATAATCTGCATAAATTATATTAAGGATCTTGCGAACATTACAGAAGGAGTACCTGCCCGGGATAAATCCTGTTTGGTCAGGGTGAATAATACTTGCTACATTCTTCCCGAGCCGGTTCGCTAGAACTTTTGTAATTATTTTCAAATCGTAATTTAGCAGGGCAATAGGCCTGTAGCTGCCCGGGTCTGTTTCATCCTTGTCTTTTTTTAATAGAACGCAAATATTTGCTTCACTGAGAGAGGGTGGAAGCTGTTTGTTATTAAACGTGTCACGAATCATTCTCAACAGAGGGGGTGCTAGGATCCCAAGAAAAGCTTTGTAAAACTCTGGCCCAAACCCATCTGGGCCCGGCGCTTTACCAGTGGGGGATGCTCTGATGGCGTCCTGTAACTCGGAAAGAGAGAAATCCGAGTCCAGACTCTCCCTAAAAACTGTGTCTAATTTTGGAAAGTTAAGCGAGTCAAAAAAGTGGTCAAAGTCTTCCTGTGTAGCGGTTGATTTGGAGGTGTAAATTTCTGAGTAGAATTCTTTAAAACGGTCACTGATGTCCTTCAAGTCTGTAAGCATCTCTCCAGATTCAGATTTTATTTTATAAATAGCTTGTTTTGCTTGTTCTCCTTTTAACTGTCTCGCCAGTAGCTTTTGTGGTTTGTCACCGAGCTCAAAGTGTCTCCGTTTAAGTTTTAATAATAAATTGCCAATCTGTTCTCCCAGAATGGAATTATACTCGTACTTTAATTTAATGATTGTGTTATAATCTGATTGGAGTAGTGAATTTCGATAGACCTGTTCAGCAGTCTGTAGCTCTTTGTCAATCTCTGCCAGTCTGCCACACTTAGTCTTTTTCAGTGTTGCTTCATACGAAATAATTTGCCCCCTAATATATGCTTTTAGAGTTTCCCACAAAGTAGTGTCGTTCACCTCCCCATTGTCATTGGTCTCAAGGAACTGTGATATGTACGTGGTGATATATGTTTTAAAAGCCTGATCCTCCAGGAGGTAAGGATTAAAACGCCAACTATAGGCTTGTTTACGGGAGCACAGTTTAAGGTTAATATTAACTGGACTGTGGTCAGATATTAGTATGTTGTGATATTTAGTGTAGGTGATGTTAGAAATTAATCTGGAATCAACTAGAAAATAATCAATCCGTGTGTATGATCTGTGCACATGAGAGTAGAAAGAATAGTCCCTGTCGGATGGGTGCTGCAATCTCCAAATATCCACCACCTTCTTTGTTTTCATCTAATTGTTAATAGTTTGTACAGCAAGAATGTTAGGTGGGGGGGTAGAAGACATCCTATCTAAATAAGGGTCCAGGTAGCAATTAAAATCGCCCCCTATCACTATGTGGCTTGAATCATCGTCTGGAATCAGATCAAACACCTTTCGGAAGAAAGCCGGATCATCTGTGTTCGGCCCATAAATATTCACTAGCGTGATAGGGAATGAATTGATGTGTCCAGTTACAATTATAAACCTGCCGTTTGGGTCAGTTGTTGATGATTGAAATCGAAAAGGCACAGTCTTTCGGAAGAGAATGGCAACACCACGTGCTTTTGATGTAAATGGTGATTGATAGACCTGTGAGATCCAATTAGCCCTTAGTTTCCTATGCTGAGTGGCTGTAACATGAGTTTCTTGTAAAAACATAATGTCAGATTTCAATGATTTCAAGTGTGAGAACACTTTGCCTCTTTTGACTGGGTTACCCAAACCGCGTACATTCCAAGAGACCAAGGACTTGAAATCAAAAGTATTATTCACATATGGTACCTTTTGCATTAGAATGAAAAACAAACTTAACACTCAGTCTGGCAGCTAATCTCAAACAAAAAACAGAAATAACATGAACCATTAACAAACACACAAACAAATCCCCCTCCCAAAGCTTCCCCAAGTGAAGCGTGGTTACCCTCATCCGCAACTGGGTTCGCCGGTCAAAGAAAAAACAAAAGGAGAATACCTCCATCCAACCGCCCCTCGTTAGTACACAGAAAAGTAAATTAAACATTGAGGAAAAAAAAACGCTAGGGTAAAGATTTGCTCAGAACATAATTAGACTCCGCTCATCTATAGAAAAGTGAACTTTCAGAGTTCTTGGTTTATGAAAGTCTTAGCTTCGTCCAGATGGTTGAATGCTTTTACTTGCCCTTGGTGGTGAATGTGGAGCCTGGCCGGGAAGCGCAGCGAATGACGAATCTCCTTCTCTCTCAGCAGCTGCATCACCTCGCGAAAGCCCCGGCGCTTCTCCGTCACCTCCGCGGTGTAGTCGGGGAAGATTAGGATTCGGTTACCGTTGTATTCCATTGAGCTCTGCCTCCCGAGCCGCAGAATCTTCTCCTTCTCCTGTGTTAAGTGCACCCGTGCGATTATCATGCGGGGTCTGGATCCTTCCGGTGGTCTGGGCTGTAGTGTACGATGCGCTCTATCGATAACGACCGGCTTGGCGAAGTTGTCGTCCCCCAGCAGCTTCGGGATCAGGTTGGACACAAACTCAGTCGGCCTCCCCTTCTCCTCGCCTTCAGGGATGCCAATAATTCTTATGTTGTTGCGCCTGGATCTCCCTTCGAGATCTGAAAGCTTGGCCCGTAGCTTTATATTTTCTTTCTGCAGTTCGGTGATTGAAGTTTCCACCGCATGTATGCGTTGGTCGTGGTCCGCGGCCTGGCCCTCGGCAGAAGTCAGTCTCTCGGTTAGCTCCCGCTGAGCGGATAAAATGCTCTGAAAACTCTGCTCAAACTTATCAAACCTCTCATTAAAGGACTGTAGGAGCATATCTGACAATTTATGCCAAGCGAGTGGAATCTCATCTTCATATTTAGCGGGAGACATGCCCGGATCAGTGACTGGTGATTTGCCAGGTTGATTTTTGGCTTGGTCGCGGCTAGCATGAGCTGCAGTGTCAGCTACCGGGCGGCTAACGTTGGCGGCTAACGATGGCTCCCTTTCCTCCCTTTCCTCCTGCAGTTTTACCGGACATTTTTGCGTTCCTTTCGATAGTGGTGTAGACACGAAATAAAGTTCGACAAAAAAGGCGAGTCAAATGATCAAAAAAGCGGTTTTAAACAGTAAGATTTGGCGTACTACGAGGAGCTCTAAAAAACACGTCTACTCTGCTCGCATCTCCCAGAAATTAAGTGTTAACGAGCAGTTGGACAGGTATACCTGATAAAGTGGCCGGTGAGTGTATATCTCTTAGTCCTTTCTTTCTTAGTCCTAACATACACAGGCACACAACTGTGTACACTTCAGGCTGAATCGAAAGCATTTGCATCGTCCTCTCCTTTCAGTCTTGCAACCACATTTTGTTAACTGCTCACAAGTCTGAACAATAGGTGGAAGGGTTGTCCAGACAACTTGCCAGACCTCACCATCTTTTTGCTAGCTCCAGTTGGCAGGGCTTTCAGTGTGCATTTTGCACACTGAAATGGCCACACCACCGGCATCTCCATCCACCATCTCTCCACCATCAACCTCTATAAAGCCTGGCTTTCTTTTAACTTCCTCAGTCTTAATGAGAACAAGACTGAAGTAATGTTGTTTGGACCAAGTGGCGGCCACCCCCCCAACATCGACCTAGGCTCCCTCTCACCCTACCTCAAAGAGGTCCTCACTAATCTGGGAGTTAAATTTGACCCTGATTTTAAATTTGAGAAGCAGATCAGCGGGGTGGTACAAAAAAGTTTTTATCAGCTACGCCAAATAGCGAAGGTGAAGCCCATTTTATCAAGACCTGACCTGGAAAAATTAATCCATGCTTTTATAACTACCCGTCTTGATTACTGCAACTCTTTGTACGTAGGGATTAGCCAGGCTTCCCTTGCCCACCTGCAGCTTGTGCAGAACTCTGCTGCAGGTCTCCTGACACGGATCCGCAGGCGTGAGCACATCACCCCCATCCTGGCATCCTTACACTGGCTCCCTGTTCAGTACAGAATTCATTTTAAGCTTTTAGTATTTGTTTTTAAGGGCGTGAACAACCTTGCTCCACCCTATATTTCGGAGATGCTCCAGCCTTATTGCCCACCCCGACCCCTAAGATCAGCTGATCAGCTTTTACTGACCGTCCCCAGTACAAGGCTGAAGCTCAGAGGGGACAGAGCATTTGCCGCTGCTGCCCCTAAGCTCTGGAATGAGTTGCCCTTGAAAATTAGACAGGCTTCCTCATTTCCTGTTTTTAAATCCCTTTTAAAAACACACTTTTACTCATTGGCTTTTGGTACATTGTAGTGTTAATTTGTTTATTATCATCTTAGCACTTGCCGTGAGCCTCCTTATTTATACACTTATTTATTCTTTTGCATTACTGTATTTCTGCTTGCTTTATCTTGTTCTTTGATTGTTTTATTTGTTTTTATGTGTCACTGTACAGCACTTTGGCTACCCTTGTGGTTCTTTTAAATGTGCTATATAAATAAAGTTGATTGATTGATTGATTGATGTAGTGATTTAAATGAGCCTCACACGGTCGCACCAAAATATATGTAGCGATTTGAAATGAGCCTCACAAGGCCGCACCAAAATAATACTGTAGCGATTGGAATTTATAATAAATGTCTGAAGATTAATAATCTCAAATTATGACATTTATGCACTCGTTGAAAGGGGCACCACCCACCCTTAATGGTGGGAAAATAAAGAAAACAAAAGTTTAATTCAGAAATCAAACATCAAGTCAGTTTTAATTAATCAGTCTTAATTAATCAGTCTCATATCTTAAGTTGAAATTCTAATTTCAGGGACTCCACTTCTGGAAGAACACTAACAGACAGGAATTAAGAAAAATAATGATCTGTTTATTACAGGATAAATGATGGTACAACACACATGCAATAAATGATGATAAGATAATGAAGATAAATAATAATAGGTGAATAAATAAAGATTCTGAGTCAGGCTAGGAGCACTAAAGTTAATGATAGTGAGTGAATATGCGCTAACATATTAACCTACACTAACTTTGGTGTCGAGATAAACTCGGATGTGGATTTGGAGGAATCTAAGATCACCAGAAATAGGTGGATATCTGAGTTATGAACGCATGAGACAGCACCAGCCCTCTTTGGAGCTCTGGAGGTTTGCATACTTAAGTGAGACTGGTCCTTGGAGAAGATGGAGCAGGTTCCGAAGGTCCGGGGCTACTGGCGGTTCGAGCGGTTCAACTCAGAAGACGACTGAAGTCAGCCGAAGGATGAGCCAGGAGTTGCAGCACTCGGGCCCGAAGCAAAGCCAGCGCCTGTGGATCCTGTGGATGCTCGTTTGGGTACTTCTTTGGTCTCACTCAAAAACTCTGGCACAGAGGATGACCTGGGCCTGCTGAGTTGCGTTCAGAGGTGACTTTGAAATCACGCAGAAAACTCAGAAAAACGAGGCTCGAAGAGCAGAGAAAACTTTCAAAAATGGCTTCGCGAAATTAAAGAAAAATCAATCAAAGGCTTAATCTTGAATTGCTATGTGCACAAAAAGTTGAAGTTTCAAAACTTGAACTAAGACGATGTTAAAGAAAATTCAACGTGAATCAACACGTGGCGTAAAACTTAGTAGACTAAGAAAAAGTTCTAAGAGAAAACAAAGAAACGCACCACAGAAGGGTGTGGGCAGAAGAGTAGGTACAAGAAAGGAAGGAATAAGAGAATGAGAGCAACCCCACTTCACTGGTTTTATCTTCTCACACTGGGAGTGGCTCCGGCGCGTGTGTGAGGAGACAGAGGAGGGTCGTGTGGTCTTTGATTATTCGATCTAACTTATTCTTTTGGCTGGTAAAAGAGTCAGATCTGATACTCACTCACTATGATTAATATTGAATGCTAGGTTTCATGATAAATAATTTGACACTAAACACATATGAATGAAGTGTAGGATCACATCAAACATTCTCATTATGTTTTAAGTATCACATTGAACATGCTAAATTACTCTGAAATGAAACAGATAGTAACACATGGAAACTGTGAACAACAAAAGAGTAAACACATGTGAATGAACTTCATCATGATTAATAATGGATTCTAAATACTCACATTCAGGTTATTCAATGACATTATAACCACCTAATGGTTAAAAATACTAAATAAACAACTACAATATAAACCAAACATTTCTAAACTGTTTCTGTTACTTAGAGTAAACTTAGGATTCATAGTCAATAAATTTAACTCTTAAAAGTTCATGAAACAGTCTGAAAAGCTGTTGGTCTAAAGAAACTAAAGAATAAAGGATTTATTCTGTCACAGAGCTAACTCTGCTTCTGTAGCACATAGAAAAATGGGAAACATCTCATTTTAACACAAATTTCATGATTAGACAGATTAGTACATTGCTGAATGCACAAGATGTCAGGATCAGTCATTTGTATTCTTTCACCAAAGGAATGTAGTCTTTATCAGTGTATGGTCGAGCAGGGTTTTACGAACGAGGTCTGGAGGTCAGTGTCCCCCCCTTTTCCTGGGGTCCGTACGTTCACACACTTTAAGACGCTAAATCTCAAATGGGAGATCTGGGTTGAGACGTTAATGTTTATTTAGATGGTCAGTGATGGAGTCAGTTTAAAAGGTAATAAAAACTCTGTCTCTGTTCTCCGAATTGACCAATCGTGAAGAGTCAGAAGTTTGGTCAACCTCCGGTTGGGTCACTTATTTAACCTGAAAGTGTAAACGAGTCTGGAAAGATTTATATCCCGTTTCCTGGGACCAGATAAGGAAACTTTCCTCTGAGGAATGTGTGGGTTTCACACCCAGGGTTGTCTTGATTGCTACAGTCCCCCCTTCGTCACGGTGGTCCTGTCCATGGAGCATCGGGACGACGAGTAGACAACCATGAAGCAGCAGCAGCAGCAGGTGTATGCAAATAGGACTGATGCGTCTCGTCATCACTATGTGAATCACTAGTACTGCTTTGAGATAAAATTAAGCATGCATTAAGCTATCAAATAAAATCGTCTAGTTGTTAGACTTTTCTCAGTTAACTATTGGTAGACTAATGTGAAAGAAAATCTCCTAATTTTCAATATTAATGAGATTTAGAAAAACACGATTTAGTGTGAATGCTAACTGGATCTAAAGATATAGCTCTTATTCATGCTTGCTGGAGAAGTCTGAAAGTTCCATTTCAGTTTCAAAAATGGTTAAGACTTAGGTGGAAAAGAAATGTCTGCTATAGACATATTAACCATCTGTGTATGAGCATAGTCAACCTGAATCACAAACATCAGAAGTTTACTGCACAGAGTTTCTCTTAACATTGTCTGTTAAACTTGGGGATGATGCTCTTATTGGTTTGACTAATTATCTGCTGTTGAGTCTGAAATTTGTCAATCTGAGTCTTGATGACAGAAATTTCTGGTTTTAATCTGTTCATGGGATATTTGACAGCTGACAAGCTGACCATATTGACAGAGGAGAGACAAATGCTAACAAAGAAAGCAGCAACGGGGATTGCAGTCATCAATGTATCACCACAGCATTTGGATATCTTATTGGAGTCATTCAGCTTTGGCTGAGTGACTTCTGCTTTCGCAGGACTCACACCTTCATGACTCCGCAGTGTTAATCTCAGTGGTTAGCTGAGTAGTCATGTTTATTCACCTTCAAAGTGGATGAAACCGATTGAGGTGGATAATAAGATCGTCGTTTCTGAGAGTGTGATTTACTCTGATTCTGCCAGTCATTCACCCCCCTTTGGCGGTGTTGATGGTTTTTCCTTTGTCTGGGATAAAACCCACCGTGACGGGAGTCTGAATAACAACAGTTGGTCTTAAAGTTTACCTGGCATTGGTCTGTGTCAGACCTGGGCCTTGGTGTGTAACTTTGACCTTTGTGAGTTTGTTGAGGTCGAAAAGGTTTTGGAGGCCTGGTTAACCACTCATGTGGAGGCTTATCGGAGCCTGAAAATACACAGTCTGAAGCTTCGTTCAGCTCCATGGGCAGTGATTTTGTCTCCATAGCCAAGAGAGTAACGGGCTCTGCTTTCTTAGCCAAAGTTTGTCGTTGTTTGGCAAAACCTTTTACAGCAAGTTCACGAAGCTGTCAGCTAGTGGAAGTGTTTGGACAAGCTAAGACGCCAAGGTGATGACTGGTGGTAGGGTGGAGGTTCTGGACGAACAGCGTTTTGAAGTTCAAGTCCTCCATTTCTGGTTCATTTCGGAAACCAAAGTAAGCTTCGCGTAAGCGGTTGTAATATTGTTGGGGAGGTTCTGATCTCTCTTGTTTAATAGACAGAGCAGCAGAGAGGCCTGTCTGGGTCAAATGATCAGAAAACTCTTCGATTAATGCTTGGCAGAGCAAGTCATAATTATTTCTGACATGATAAGGCTGTCGTTCAAGGAAACTGCTAACCGACTTGACTTGACGTTGCCTTAATAAGGTAGATTTTGTCATCAATGGTTGCACCTGGAAATTTCCGCAGGTAAAAGTCAATATCTTTCAAGTAGGTGCAGGTGTCAGTAGCACCTTGGTGCTCAGGTTCAAAGCGTGCTATGTTACGAGCAATTTTGTCAAGATCCCTGTCTGAGGGAGATGGTAAGAAGCCATCATGAGGACGAGAGTAGGACTTTTGGTTTAAGGATGACCTCTCAGGGTCAAGCAGGGTCCTGTCATGATGCTGAGAGATATACTTAAGAGTTGGTTTGGAAGGAAGTGATGGCGCTCTCTCAGGAGGCTGATCACCTATCATTTCTTCAAGAAAAGTTTGCTCCATACGTTCTCTTTGGGTTCGACCTGACTGGAGGGAGCATTGTAACTCTCTTTGCGCATCTTCAAGTTCTTTGTCTGTCTTTTCTTGCCGTTCTTGACAAAGAATTAACTGTCTTTGAGCTATCTGGAGCTGGTGCTGTAAGGTAGAAGTTTGCTTCTCCTTAACTTCAAGAGCTTCAGCACGCACTTTGACCAGTGCTTTCAAAGCTTTTACATCTTCTGTTGCTTGCTCTAGTAGGGATTCTGACTGTATCAGATCCTCTGTGGTCTTAGCAAGCTGCTTATTTGTGTCATCAAGTTCTTTCTCCTTTTTGTTAAGGGTTTCATTAAGTCTTTCAATCTTGTCTTTGAGATCAAGATTTTCTTCATGACTTATCAGTGAGGGAAGCTTTGACGCTTCACATCTGGCACTGTGTTTTTCTAAAACACTTAGAGACTTCTTAGTCTCCTCTAGCGTCTTTTTCAGAGCGCTGTTTTTGTCTTTTTGCATCTTTATCTTTGCTAAAGCGCATTCCAGCAAGTAGTCTTTATACTCAAGCTGAGAAGACATCACGACAGACATGCGTCTAGTGAGCTCTTTGTCACGAAGTGTCGTGGTTAAGGCTGTTTCCAGTAGGTCAGCCATTTCATCCTCTGGATTGGAGGGTTTGGCCTTTTTAATCTTAGTCATGTACTGAGGTATCAGCTGACTAGTTAAGTTTGCTAACACTGTGTGTATGTCCCTCAGGGGGTCTCCCTGGCTGGACTCTTTCATGTTAGGCATGTTTGGTTTTGGTAAAGAGGTGCAGGTGGTTGGTTGATGAGTTTGAGTTGACTTAAAATGAAAGGAAGAAGCAAAATATCAAATTAAGTGAGTTAATCGACTTAATTTATCAGTGCTTGATAAAGAGGAAGAGCCTATCTGAGTAGATCTCTAATGTAGAGAAAAATAACAAGGTTACATTCACTTCAATGAAAATTGAAAAAGTGAAATTATGTTAAATTAAATTTAACATCAGATACAGAACCATTGAATAAAGGGTTCAGTTTGTCTCCGTGTTGCAGAGATCAGCAAAGCTTAAATAAACTGCCTGATGCAGTTGGATGAATTTGAAAAATCAATGAAATTGTCAATTTAAGGAATTAACTCTGAAATTAATTCACAAATTGCAATAAATCCAAAGGTTGAACTACCAAATCTATCTGGAATGTTAAAAGAAATTTGAAATATTAATTAATTTGTTCGTTAATTAATTAATTAATCTTATGAGGAGGGTTAATACATTCATGTATTATGGGGAACAGTAAACTGCTCAATGGTGTGATAAGTAACAACAGGATCAGGTGATTGATTCAAGGAGTTACTTTATCAATACATCATGGAGGCTCTTATAACATAGAATAGAATAGAATAGAATAGAATATTCCTTTATTGATCAGTGATTTAGAATAAGCACATCAAACTTCATCGACCAAGTCAATCACTTGAATTATGTCTGTAGAGTGTTACACACTGACTACAGAGAGGCAGAACAGCTGGCTGATACTGCAGGCAGATAAGTGTTAGCTCAATACCAAAAGCAACCATGTGGGGCAGTATGGAGTTGGGATAACTGCACAAGCTCAACACAAGTGGAGAAGAAGAAGAAAAGAGGAAACAGTCATCCAACTAGCCTCTTGTGGCTGTGTGGTGTTGGGAAGTCTGAAGGAAGGGGCCTTTAGGCTCTGCCTCCTTGAAGGGCCTTATCTGCTTAAGGCCAAATGGTCAGTCTCTCCACTGACAACAAAGGGTTAACATTTCACAGCAGGATCGTCTGCACCCTCAAACATAGAACTTTACACCATCTGCTCAGGCAGATTGGTTCAATAAAATCATTTACAGGAACAAGAATCAAAGTGACAAATCACTCAACAGCAGATTCAACTGCAGACTTTAAAATCACAAATGCGGCGATTCGTGATCACGGATTTTGTCTGAATTCATTCAAACACCAACCTCCCACTGTTACAGTGGTTTCCTGTGACAGATAGCTTATCTGTCAGGGAAAGGAGGAATCGTCTGCACCCTCAAACATAGAACTTTACACCATCTGCTCAGGCAGATTGGTTCAATAAAATCATTTACAGGAACAAGAATCAAAGTGACAAATCACTCAACAGCAGATTCAACTGCAGACTTTAAAATCACAAATGCGGCGATTCGTGATCACGGATTTTGTCTGAATTCATTCAAACACCAACCTCCCACTGTTACAGTGGTTTCCTGTGACAGATAGCTTATCTGTCAGGGGAAAGGAGGAAATCTGAATCCCATGTAGTTACTAGAACCTCGTAGCAGACTACAGAGACTTCAGGGGCTTGAAACCACAGCTCGGAGCATCGCGAACACTGGGTTCAGCCAAAGGCCTTAAATACAAGCGTACAGCGACGCAACAATCGTGCACTTAAATATTGGACAGTTTAGACAGAGCAGAAGAAGCAGTCTCACTGCTACTCAGAACAACATTTCACGCTGTCCAGCTCAAACACAGACTACAGGCATGTAGTACAAGAGTGTGTAAAACACAGAGCATAAAGGTTTTATGCATAGATCAGGAAAACATCAGAACTTAGTCAAGCAACTTCAGCAAGAATAGCATTGATTGTGATTAAGTCTAAAATAGCCTGGAAATAAGTTTCTCTCATCAATTTGGAAGGCTAAGTTTTAGGTTGTCTGTTAGTATCCAGAAGTTTTGTTTGAAACGCCTCACGCAGGGGCACCAAAATATATGTAGTGATTTAAATGAGCCTCACACGGTCGCACCAAAATATATGTAGCGATTTGAAATGAGCCTCACAAGGCCGCACCAAAATAATACTGTAGCGATTGGAATTTATAATAAATGTCTGAAGATTAATAATCTCAAATTATGACATTTATGCACTCGTTGAAAGGGGCACCACCCACCCTTAATGGTGGGAAAATAAAGAAAACAAAAGTTTAATTCAGAAATCAAACATCAAGTCAGTTTTAATTAATCAGTCTTAATTAATCAGTCTCATATCTTAAGTCGAAATTCTAATTTCAGGGACTCCACTTCTGGAAGAACACTAACAGACAGGAACTTAGAAAAATAATGATCTGTTTATTACAGGATAAATGATGGTACAACACACATGCAATAAATGATGATAAGATAATGAAGATAAATAATAATAGGTGAATAAATAAAGATTCTGAGTCAGGCTAGGAGCACTAAAGTTAATGATAGTGAGTGAATATGCGCTAACATATTAACCTACACTAACTTTGGTGTCGAGATAAACTCGGATGTGGATTTGGAGGAATCTAAGATCACCAGAAATAGGTGGATATCTGAGTTATGAACGCATGAGACAGCACCAGCCCTCTTTGGAGCTCTGGAGGTTTGCATACTTAAGTGAGACTGGTCCTTGGAGAAGATGGAGCAGGTTCCGAAGGTCCGGGGCTACTGGCGGTTCGAGCGGTTCAACTCAGAAGACGACTGAAGTCAGCCGAAGGATGAGCCAGGAGTTGCAGCACTCGGGCCCGAAGCAAAGCCAGCGCCTGTGGATCCTGTGGATGCTCGTTTGGGTACTTCTTTGGTCTCACTCAAAAACTCTGGCACAGAGGATGACCTGGGCCTGCTGAGTTGCGTTCAGAGGTGACTTTGAAATCACGCAGAAAAACGAAATTAAAGAAAAATCAATCAAAGGCTTAATCTTGAAAGTTTCAAAACTTGAACTAAGACGATGTTAAAGAAAATTCAACGTGAATCAACACGTGGCGTAAAACTTAGTAGACTAAGAAAAAGTTCTAAGAGAAAACAAAGAAACGCACCACAGAAGGGTGTGGGCAGAAGAGTAGGTACAAGAAAGGAAGGAATAAGAGAATGAGAGCAACCCCACTTCACTGGTTTTATCTTCTCACACTGGGAGTGGCTCGGGCGCGTGTGTGAGGAGACAGAGGAGGGTCGTGTGGTCTTTGATTATTCGATCTAACTTATTCTTTTGGCTGGTAAAAGAGTCAGATCTGATACTCACTCACTATGATTAATATTGAATGCTAGGTTTCATGATAAATAATTTGACACTAAACACATATGAATGAAGTGTAGGATCACATCAAACATTCTCATTATGTTTTAAGTATCACATTGAACATGCTAAATTACTCTGAAATGAAACAGATAGTAACACATGGAAACTGTGAACAACAAAAGAGTAAACACATGTGAATGAACTTCATCATGATTAATAATGGATTCTAAATACTCACATTCAGGTTATTCAATGACATTATAACCACCTAATGGTTAAAAATACTAAATAAACAACTACAATATAAACCAAACATTTCTAAACTGTTTCTGTTACTTAGAGTAAACTTAGGATTCATAGTCAATAAATTTAACTCTTAAAAGTTCATGAAACAGTCTGAAAAGCTGTTGGTCTAAAGAAACTAAAGAATAAAGGATTTATTCTGTCACACAGCTAACTCTGCTTCTGTAGCACATAGAAAAATGGGAAACATCTCATTTTAACACAAATTTCATGATTAGACAGATTAGTACATTGCTGAATGCACAAGATGTCAGGATCAGTCATTTGTATTCTTTCACCAAAGGAATGTAGTCTTTATCAGTGTATGGTCGAGCAGGGTTTTACGAACGAGGTCTGGAGGTCAGTGTCCCCCCCTTTTCCTGGGGTCCGTACGTTCACACACTTTAAGACGCTAAATCTCAAATGGGAGATCTGGGTTGAGACGTTAATGTTTATTTAGATGGTCAGTGATGGAGTCAGTTTAAAAGGTAATAAAAACTCTGTCTCTGTTCTCCGAATTGACCAATCGTGAAGAGTCAGAAGTTTGGTCAACCTCCGGTTGGGTCACTTATTTAACCTGAAAGTGTAAACGAGTCTGGAAAGATTTATATCCCGTTTCCTGGGACCAGATAAGGAAACTTTCCTCTGAGGAATGTGTGGGTTTCACACCCAGGGTTGTCTTGATTGCTACATTGATATATATCTGACCACCTGGCTGACACTTTCAGCATCGACCCCCACACAAACGCCAACTGGAACGTATCTACCGCAAAACCGGCCTCACCGTCCATATCCAAGCCTACACCGACCATCTCCACCTGTACAGAACAGCCCTCAACTCCACCCGTTCTTCCTATTACTCCAACCTCATCCACTCCGGCTCCAGTAACCAAAAGGCTCTTTTCTCCACAGTCAAAATACTGCTTCACCCCATTGACAGTATCTCCATCACCTTCACCCCGGAAAAGTGCAACTCATTCCTCTCCTCTTTTCAATCCAAAATCAACACAATCTACAATTCCCCCTTCCCCACCCTCCATTCCCAGCTACTGCCCTTATCCCATCAGCACTCTCCCGCTTCTCACCTGTTTCTCCAACCGATGTGACCAACATCATCTGCTCCATGTCATCATCCACTTGCATCCTGGATCCCATCCCATCCTCCCTCATCAAGCACTGCCTCCCCGCCATCTCTCCCATCATCACACAGATCATCAACTCCTCCCTCAACCCCACCACTGTTCCCCCTTCACTCAAACTGGCCGCTGTCACCCCCATCTTCAAAAAACCTGGACTCAACACTGACGACATCAACAACTTCCGGCCCATCTCCAACCTCCCTTTGTTGTCGAAAATCCTTGAATGTGTCATTGTATCACAAATCAAAGCCCACCTCAACAATAACAATCTTTATGAACAGTTTCAATCAGGATTCCGCACCCACCACAGCAGCGAAACTGCCCTCATCAAAGTCACCAATGACTTCATCATGACCTCATTTCTGCTGACTCCGGCCAACCATCCATCCTCATCCTCCTTGACCTTGACACCATCGACCACGCCATCCTCCTGTCCCGCCTACACTCCCTCCTCAATATCACAGACACCGCTCTCAACTGGATCCACTCATATCTCACAGACCGGAATCACTTCATCCACATCAACAACTGCTCCTCTACAACTGCCCCTGTGTCCCAAGGTGTCCCCCAGGGTTCAGTGCTTGGTCCCCTCCTCTTCATTATCTACCTCCTCCCTCTTGGCCACATCCTCCGTCAACACAATCTCCACTTCCACTGCTACGCTGATGACATTCAATTGTACATCTCTTCCACCTCCATCAACCACCAGACCCAACACTCCGTCTCAAACTGCCTCTCTGATGTCAAACACTGGATGGACAGCAACCTTCTCAAGCTCAACTATGACAAAACAGATCTCCTCATCATTGACCCAAACTCCCTCACCTCCACAGTCACAGACTTTAATCTCTCCATTGACAACTCCACCCTCTCCCCCTCCCCCTACTGTCGCAACCTTGGTATTCTCTTCGACAGCAACCTCTCCTTCACCCAGCACGTCAAGCAAATCACCAAAACAGCCTACTACCATACTACCACCTCAAAATCATTTCATCCTGTCTAGATTATTGTAACAGTCTCCTCCATGCCACTACCTCCACTCTCCTCAGTAGACTTCAGCTCATCCAGAACTCTGCCGCCTGCCTCCTCACCCATACACACTCCTACCAACACATCACCCCCGTCCTCCAGAACCTTCTCACCCCCCCCCCCCCCCCCCCACACACACACACACACACCCTCTGCTCTTCCGACGCCAACCTCCTCACAGTTCCCTCGACTAAACACCGAACCTGGGGGACAGAGCCTTCTTAGTCGCCGCCCCCACCCTCGGGAACTCACTCCCACTGGACCTCAGAAAGTGCACCGACCTCACCAGATTCAAGACCCATCTCAAAACCCACCTTTTCCGCACTGCCTTTCATCCCCGCTGATAATGAGCTGTGTGATCAGCGCACGCCCCTTGTAATAACCCCCGTATCCCGAAAAAACTGTTGTTCAGTTGTGATGCACACACCCACGCACATATCAGAGGTACAAGCAGTACACAATGACTGTATTCAGATACACACCCGATGGTATAAAAGAGAGTAGAAGCATAAGCTTAAGAAGGCTTTCCTCTGGTTTGGTCGAGACTCTGTTTGTCATCTGGACTGATTTCTACATCTGTACAATGAAAGATGCCCAGGCTGTTCTTCAGATCTCATCCTGTCTCCCATGCATTGTTTTCCTGAGTGTATGTTGCAGCTTTTCGCAACATAATTGACAAGCCTTTGCCAGAATTCGTATTGGGGGACCAGGGACTGTGACTCTGCAAACTTCTTATGGGATGAGGACACTCTGCACACACAAAAAGAAAAAGGTAGGAGATTTCCTAAAATTTATTTAGGTGTTCTTTTCCCTATAAGGTGACGCAGACTGCTGCTCTCTGTCCTCTTCGAATCAAAGAACCTAGAATAGAAAAAAGGGGAGACAATGGGAGTGAAGACAGGCTGGGAAAACTGCATGCATGCAGTCAGCTTATCAAAATGTGCTAAATTCAGGAGAGGAAGCCAATTTAAATTGGATGTGTATTAGCTGAATATAGGGGAAATTTCAGTGAGTTGTGAGAGACTGGTGTAGGCCTATGTGCAGCTAGCTAGCTCTTTTCGGAAAAGTTAAAATCCAGACCCTAGAGGGCAGAATAACTAGAAATAAGTCACTAATACATATCTGATTATAGTTTTGCTGAAAGGCAAAGACCTCATGAAATCCGTGAGCAGCCTATTCAGGGATCCCGTACACAAAAGCTTTTCCCAGATCTCCTGACCAGTTGTAGGAACTTTGCCAAGAAAATCAAAGACATCAGGCAGGACCCAGAGGAAACGATGGTTTCCTCTGACATCACATCACTTTTCACAAATATTCTGATGACAGAGGCAGTCCAAGCAGTAAGACTACATCTCTTACAGAACACTGGAGGTCAGAACTAACTTAGCCCCGGACCACATCTCTTCCTTACTGGACATCTGCCTCAGCACCACCTATTTCCAGTTCAGAGACCACTACTACAGACAGAAACATGGATGTGCCATGGGCTCCCCTGTTTCTCCAATGGTGGCAAACCTGTATATGGAAGAGGTAGAGAGAAGGGCCCTAACCTCCATTGAAGGAACTGCACCTAGCCACTGGTTTAGATATGTGGATGGCACCTGGACAAAAATCCTTTGGATCTTTGGCAAACACCATATTCCTGTTCACCTCAAGCCTGGAAACACACTAAGGCAGAAGCTAGTACATCCAAGGGACAAAACTCGGAGACATAAACAGAGTAATGTGGTGTATGCTGTCCAGTGCAGTGAGGAATGCTCGGACCTGTACGTTGGGAAAACTAAACAACCGCTTCACATGGCTCAACACAGGAGAGCCACTTCCTCAGGTCAGGACTCAGCAGTCCACCTTCACTTAAAGGACACAGGTCACTCTTTTGAGGACAGCAATGTACGGGTGTTGGCTAGAGAAGACAGATGGTTTGAATGAGGATTTAAACAAGTCACCAGACTAGAGAAACCCTCTCTTAACAGAGGAGATGGACTCAGGCATAACCTGAGTTATGCAGTTCTCAGCTCTCACCCCAGGAAGCTCCACAAACATTCACACCTGGGACCATGTGACCACAACGGCTCACATGAAAAGGGTAGTTAACGACCCACTCAGGTTAACGACTCTCGGGATAATCACCCAGAGATGGGCTTCTACGACCCATTCACTCCAACTCCTCCCAGTCATTGTTTTCCCCTCCTCCAGGAAGATATAATACCAGCTCCACCCACTTGCTTTTTTAGAACTGTAGAAGCTTCCTGGATAAGCAGCGAAACGTCTTCTCAACTCATCACAGTCCAGTTGCCGAATTTTGGAGATTTCAAGAAAAAATTGAATCAAGGTGTTAGAACTTTCATGACCTAGAGGAGGCACATCTGATGTGACTGTGTGTGAGAATTCGCGAAGCGAGTTAAAGACCATAAACACAAA